AAATGTTTTCAAGGAAAAAAACAACCAAGAAAGTCCATTTGCCTTTTGAACACCTTTGGGACAACCATGATCTGGATGATTGAGAATCTCCGTGGACAGAGCTTTGGGGAGTCTCCAGCACTGCTTAAGGCTTTATTCAGTTTCTCAGCTGTCAGCTTCAGCCTAGTCAACCACAAGCCCCACTGATACCTCTGCTAATTAATTAACGTAAGTTATTGTCAAGTCCCATCCCTGGGGAGGATATCCTTTTAGAAAGAAATGTTCTGATTAATTATAACATATAAGGAACGGTTGCTGGAATTGGGTATGTCTAGTTTAACGAAGAGAAGGACGAGAGGGGACATGATAGCAGTGTTCCAATATCTCAGCGGCTGCCACAAAGAAGAGGGAGTCAAGCTATTTTCCAAGGCGCCTGAAGGCAGGACAAGAAGCAACGGATGGAAACTAATCAAGGAGAGAAGCAACCTAGAACTAAGAAGAAACTTCCTGACAGTTAGAGCAATTAGTGGAACAACCTGCCTCCAGAAGCGGTGAATGCTCCAACACTAGAAATTTTTAAGAAGAGACTGGACAGCCATTTGTCCGAAATGGTGTAGGGTTTCCTGCCTGAGCAGGGGGTGGACTCGATGACCTCCAAGGTCCCTTCCAACTTTATTATTATTATATTATACTCCGGTCATTTTCCAGTGATCACATGCAACAAAGTTGTTATATTATTGTCACAAAGTGCTTTTTCAAGAGGCAACTGGACTTTCTTGTTTTTCTTTGAAGACGTTTCGCTTCTCATCCAAGAAGCTTGTTCAGCTCTGAGCATTTCAGCCTCAGAACTGAAGAAGTTTCTTGGATGAGAAGCAAAATGTTTTCAAAGAAAAACAAGAAAGTTCAGTTGCCTCTTAAAAAAGCACCTTTGGGACAACCATGACCTGGATGACTGAGAATCTCCATAGACACTTGTTATACCATCCCATAGGGAAAGTGAATGGTCATTCTTACTTTTGCCCACAAGAGATCAAATGTTACAAATGCACATATTTTTTCAGAGGGAGGGAGGGAGGCAAGCTAGTTGACCAATATGCCAGTCTTTTGGATCAGAAAACCTAGTGGTTAGAAACAGCAAAGAAAATAGCCTTTTAAGGACAATTGATGATCATATTTCAGTGCCATACCAACAACAATAACTTAGAAAAGGATTTTTAAGTGTTTCTTTTTAAATTGAGTCTGAGCACTTTTTATTTATTTATTTACTTTATTCATTTCTATCCCACCTTTATTATTTTTACAAATAACACACAACACTCTTTCCTCCTCCTAGTTTTCCCACAACAACAACTCTGTGAAGTAGAATGGATTGAGAGGGGCTGACCCAAAATCACCCAGCTGGCTTTCGTAGCTAAGGCGGGACTTGAACTCACAGCCTCCTGATTTCTAGCCTGTGCTTTAAAAACATTAGACTGTATTGTTTTGTAAAATTTAAAAATTTTCAATTAAAAAAAAAGAAAAAACATTAGACCAAACTGGTTCTCTTTTTTAATTGGCTTAGTGCAACTTTGAATAACTTATCTCTGGGCAATTTGCAGATGGCTCTCCACTTCTTCTTCTTCTTCTTTTTTTTGCATTTCTGCTATCTCTGCATTAAAAGATTGAGCAGGAATGGTTGTTTTAAAAATCATTGCGGTGAAGCTCTTGAAACTATTCCTCTAAACCAAACCTAGGTTAATAACTCTAAGGGAACTATGATGCCTGCTGTTTTTCATCTTCATGCAAAATTGAGCACATACATATGCTTTTATGCTTCTCTATTATAGACTAAGAATAAAACTTTAAGATAAAATCTTGAAGACGTTGGAATTACAAATTCTTTGAATCTTGAAATTCCAGTTAAGATTGATTCATTCATACTGGCCTATTGACATTTTTCAGTTTGAACATTCTTGAGGATATTACCAAAGATAAAATGAACATTTGGAGGACTGTGGCCTATTTTTTTTTTTTTTTTTGAAGAACTGGATTCATCAGTTAGCAATAGCACTTAGACTTATATACCACTTCCTAGTGTTTCACAGTTCTCTCTGAGATCCTTGTCTAATGAATCCAGGTTAGTGATATCTAACAGAACTTGGGTTATAATATGAATTTTGGAAGAGGTTATTATATCATTAAGGATGGGATAGTTTTAACAGACTTTTTTCCTTGAAGAATCCATCAGTGAATTACCATTCATGTTCAAATATATTATTTCTGCATAAAACCATGGACTGAATAGTGTCATCTGAATGGTAGAGTCATAAAGTCAAACCATCAAAAACAGCCTTTTCAATCAACAGATACATAACAAAGACCTGTTTTATTGATACTAAATAAATAAATGTTAGAATGGAACTTTAACAGTCTTTAAAGAACAGATCCAAATTTTAAATTGGGCATGGAAACCAACTGACAACCAATATAGCAGCAACAATAGCTCACGTTATCCTAGGCCAGTATTTCACAACCTTAGCAACTCTAAGAAGTGTGGATTTCAATGTGTGGACATCAGTGCTGGCTAGGGAATTCTGAGAATTGAAGTTCTCACATCTTAAGGGTTGCCAAGGTTGAGAAACACTGTCCTAGACCTTAGCCAGTTGCCCTTTGCACTTCATTCATGGCAGCTCAACATAAAGATTTTTCAGTATTCTAGTCTTCATTTATTGAGAGCATGTTTGCTGTAGAGATTTAAGGCATCATGCTAGAAAATGAACATGCTGGGCAGTTCTGTGCCAACCCAAGGAAGAAGGCAATAGCAAACCATTTCAAAAAGCTTGCTGTGAAAAAAAGTCTTGATTTCTCTAAAACAGTGTGCCTCAACCTCAGTAACTCTAAGAAGTGTGGGCTTCAATTTCCAAAATTCCTCAGGCAGCACCTCTGGGAACTGAAGTGGACACATCTTAGAATTTCCAAGGTTGAGAAGCACTGCTCTAGAAAATAGACAACTTGCAAAAGAAGTTTAAGGCAGGTCTGCATCACTGAAAGAGTTTAACCTGGCCAAAGTGCTCTGAGCTTTCCCAGTTTACTCAGAAAGGAGACTACTGGAGTCTTTTATGAGTGTTCACTGGAATGTGTGACTATCTGAAACTGGGAAGAGTTATAAAGTTAAAGCTCTAAATCTGGGGATGTTACATCTTCTGTATGCATGTCCAATAGCAAATCTGAAGAGAGTTCCATTTACTTTCAAATACATGTAAGTACTCTTGGACACAATTTTGATCCCTGATAATGTCCAAATGGATGGAGTCACTGAAGCAGTAGGTGTGAACTTAAATGGACTCCAGAATATGGTAGAGGACATGAAGACCTGGAGGAACGTTGTCCATGGGGTTGCGATGGGTCGGACACGACTTCGCAATTAACAACAACATCCAAATAGAGTTCCTGAGAACTCCATAAAGCATATGGTAACTTTCAGAGAAAGTACAAACTTATCTACAACTGCAAATCCACCCAGAGCAGCTGACTCTTTAACTATAACATCTCTGTCTTATCTGGGTCCAGATTTAGCTCATATGTTCCTCTCTTACCCCAGAATTACCTATAGCTCATTTTTATGTATTCCAATTAGCAACAAGCAGAGACAGACCTTTCCTAGCTTTTTTAAAAAGGAAGCTACTGGAATTGGAATATTCTACGTGCAAAGCATGTGTCCTGCCTCTGATCTATACCCTCCCTGCTCTAGATTGGGGAGGCATCTGGCTGGCCACTGCTGGAAGCAAAATACTGGACAAGATCATTGCCGCTTGATTAATCAATGCTATTATTCTGACCTTATGAGATGCAATGGAAAACAAAAGGAAACACCCCTCCCTCTTTTGAGAAGAGAGCAAGGACACACAAATCCTATCTGCATAGACCAATGGTCTCTTTCTCTCAGTCTCTGTCTGTCTGTCTGAATATCTCTCTCCCCCCCCCCATCCCACAGGACATTTATCTCCCAACAATACATCTGAAGCATTTCTCCTGATTCCTGCCACCTGTTGCCTTGCATCTAGCTTTGGGCAGCTCTGCATAGAGGATCTCAGGAGCATAAGAACAGGGTTTTTTTTTTTCCTCTTTTTTTAAAAATCCCATTCCTATATATTTAAGTCTCTCTAACCTGGTTGGGATGTTTCTATACAGCTTTCAATAATAATAACAACAATAAATGTGACATCAGAAGTTTTATTTAAAAGCAGTCTCTCCTCTTTTGCAATAAAAGCAGGCTGTTCCCCCCTTTGATTCTTAATTATTTGAAACCCGGGGGAAAGATTACCACAAAAAGGCGTCGTTTGTGTAAACACACAAACCCGTAACAGTTAATTCCTTTTAGAGCTGGTTAGCAAGAGGCAAAGCGGGGAGGGGAGGGGAGGGGAGGGGAGAGAAAATGTAAGGCAGAAGACGCAAGTTTAACTTATGTGTTTCTGGACACCTAAAGGGTGCTTCCTAAGACGGCCGAAGACACCAGAAATCGACTAAGTCGAGGATATAAGAAAAAGGAGCCTAACGTCCGCAGCCCCCAAACTTCACCAAGTGTTTCCCCTTTGTTTCTCCCCGCAACCATTAGAGATCCCGAGTCGATCGCGTCTTTTCCCTGACTCTCGGGTGACTTGGGAAGTGAAGCCCTCTCGCCTGCCCACACGCTTCGGGTTGAATCCGGGATTTCCCGGTCCCTGCCCCGCTATCCAAGTCCGGGCGAAGCGCTCGCCTTTCGCCTTTCCTCTCCAAGGAGGAGAAGAAGGCAGGAAGAAGGGGAAACTTCAACTTTCCCGACGCCCACACAAGCCCGATGCCATTAGTCGAGGGAAACCTGGCTCTCTCCCCCCCACGCCTCTCCGCGAGTCCTCCTGCCTTTTGTCAGCCAACCGCGCAGCGCTCGCCCAGAAGGCGGACGAGAGGAGACGCGAGCGGCGGGGAAGGAAGAAGAAGAAGCCGGGACGGCGACCGGGACGAGCGAGGGAGCTGCCTACTTACTCTACCTGGGCGGCTTATACCTTGGCTGGAGGTCTCCAGAGGAAAAATGCCCGAACATTTCTCCAGTTCCACTTGGCCTCCCAGGCACAGCTCGGAGATGATCTGCAGAGCTTTGTGGCACAAGCCGCTCACCCCATCTTCCTTGGGGAAACTCATCTTCTTGAGTCCTCTTCCACTCTCTCTCTCTCTCTCTCTCTCTCTCTCTCTCTCTTTAAGCCTTCTCTTTTCTCCTCTCGGTCTGAGCCATGGTTCTCCTGCCGGGCAAAGGACGGCTTACCCTCCACCTTCTTGCTCTTGGATGGTGGTCACCCGCGGCATGACTGCAAAGAGGCATCTAACCCCCCCCTCTACCCCACCCCAGCTCCCGAAACCCGGAGAGTTCCCAGCTTTCAAGTCATCAGTGCGAAAGGAGCGGGAGGAGGAGGAGGAGGAGGAGGAGAGACGAGGAGCAGAGAGATGTGCTTAGCAGCGGAGGAAAGAACAGTCCGATCCGCACGTTGCAAAGTGAGTCGAGATTCACCTCCGAAGAACAAGGACGCCTAATTGAAGTGGAAGGCTTAAAAACAAAAGAAAAAAAAGCCACGGGGGGGAAAAATCGCACAGCACTTAGCAACGCCTTTCGTGCCTTGAGGGCATCGGTAGGCAGTTGGTCCAATGGCAGCAGAGCGCGGGTGCTTGGGAGGAGTGCAGGTGATGAGCGCGGCGCCGGGTCCTGGGAAGCCCGTCGAACGGGATCCGCTCCCGCTTGGGGAGATGGAGAACCGGGGAGGGAGGAGCCATGGAATAATGCTGGGGGGGGGGGATAAACCCCATCGCGGTGAAGGCGAGCGGGTGGTCCAGCTTAGCCGACGACCCGGCTCTGGAAAGCTTGAGATGCAACTCATGGCGCCCTGGTGGACACGGGCAGTGGGGAATTGCGGAGGGGCTGGCAGAAAGGCAGCAACTTATATGTAACTGCGTGGGAGAGAGAGAGAGAGAGAGAGAGAGAGAGAGAGAGAGAGAGAGAGAGAGAGAGAGAGAGAGAGAGAGAGAGAGAAGGAGGAGTTGCAGGCAAAGGGACAAATTCAACAGATGTTTTTCTTCCTTGCTGCCTCTAATCCCCAGTAAAGCGAAAGTCAATGGTTTGAAGACACTGTTTATTCTTTCCCTTGCTGTATTTTTATTGCACATTTCCATTTTGAAAAAGAGTCAACGGTTTGGGAGAGTTTGCCTGGTTAGATGATGCAGCTAAATCTATGGGTTTATTTATTTATTCAGCTACTCATTTGGAGTCAGATACTGACTTGTTTGACTGAGATTGAATCAGAGCTGATTGAAGAGGCTTTTTTTTTTAAATAAAGGAGACTATTTGTAGCTCAGGGTTGACACAAGGGGTCCCTGCTTGTTTTCTTGCAGATGTTTTATTACCCAGATTCTGTAACATTATCAATGCTAGTCAGCTTTCTTTAACATATATTATGATACCTGACTGGTTCCCCCCCCCTGCCATAATACTGGAACTGTTGAATAAAGATATAAACTAAAAAACTAAACAATCTGAAATGTCATTAAATACACAATCTCCAGAGTCACTTGTGATTAACTGTACTTTAATTCAAAGTCTCTGAAGGGCATCATGCAAGCTAACCTTGATTTGATAGGACTTTATAAGGATTTCAGGATGGATAAAAGCACTTCATATATATATATAGCTGTTATTCTCAAAAAACAGTCCTTTTTAAAAAAGCTGTCCTGGATGGGATGATGGGAACTGAAATTCACATATCTCAGAGACATTGTTAGAGAAGACTAGATGAATACGGATACCGTAGTTCACAAGCTTATTCTTCTTGTGAACTGATTGAACAGATAACAACTGTTTGAAATTATAAGAGCACTATCAGAGCAAGTTGTGTTTGTGATTGCTTGGGCTAAATGTGTGAAGTTTTAAATATCTCTAAGGCAGTGATTCTCAACCATTCTAATGCCGTGACCCCAGAATACAGTTCCCCATGTTGTGGTGACCCCCAAGTGGGTGTGGCCACCAATAAGAGGGAGTAGGACAGCTAGGGAAAAGGGAAAAAAATGGCGGACAACATGGTTTGGTGACCCCCGTGAAATGGTCATTCGACCCCAAATGGGGTTCTGACCCACAGGTTGAGAACCACTGCTCTAAGGGAAAGAATACGCATTTTCATAATCACAAGTATGATCTTTGGGTGGTTTAAGTATGAATTCTGCCACTGTGGCTTATTAAGAAAACCACAGCTGAATGTCTAGGAGGCAGTAAAATTCAGCAACTTTTTCTCCTAATCATATACCTATGAGCAGGACATGCATGTAATACTCCTCTGCCTTATTGTTCGCTCCTACTTCTTATATTAAATTTCATACTTGCTATGAAAGTAGACTTTCCAAGTTGCACTGTGATTTATCAGTTGTATAAACATGTATTTTCTTTCACTGAAAGACCTCCAACTTCATTCAGTGATTTAGTCACCTTAAATCATGTTTCAAACCATGGCTGGGCCCACATTGTCCTATGAATTAATGCCATTTAACCCATGGTTTCATTATTTTTTGAACAAGTCTCAGTTGCCTGGGCTAACATTACAATTAAATCATGATTTGAAAGGCACCATGGATACTTGTCTTCTCCAACCCGGGTGTCATTCAGATAGGTGGGCTTCAGTGTTCAGAGTTCCATAGTCACAATTGTTGAGAATGCTTGACATTGAAGTTCACTCATCTGAGGAGAATCTAGGAGATGGAAAGCCATGCTAAACCTAACAAGTTATATGTTATGGCCAGATATAATGTATGAGTTCAGGCAATGATGGACTATGAACACACATATGCCTTTCAATCATTTTTGAAATTTAGCAACTGCTTGGAAAATTCCTTGCAGTTTTCTTGGAAAGATTTTGCCTCCTTTCTAGGGCTAAGGAACAGGGACTGGCTTTATGTCAAAGGCTGGAAAGAACTCACATTTTCCCAGTTCCTACGCTGGTAGCTTAACCATTGCACCAAACTAGCTCATACATTTTGTAAATGTTCTAAATCAGGGGTGTCAAACTGCCAGCCTGCGGGCCGGTTTCATCATACTGGAGCCACACCCACCCCATTGCCAGCAATGGCGAAAAAGCTCCGATATGTCGTGCGACATCACATGACGTCGCGAGTTTGACATGCCTGTTCTAAATTAACTTTCCTTAGCACTAAGGTTTCATAAGATTTTTTAAAATATGGCTGCAATTGGATTCAGACTTATTTATTTATTTATGAGACTTATATACCGCTTTTAAGTGCAAGCACTCTCTAAGCAGTGTACACCAGTAAGCAATGTATATATATATTTACATTGCCCCCAACAATCTGGGTCCTCATTTTACCTACCCCGGAAGGATGGAAGGCTGAGTCAACCTTGAGCCAGTAAGAATAGAACCACTGACCTGCTGAACACGGTCAGCTAAAGTGGCCTGCAGTACTGCACTCTAAGTGCTGCGCCACCTCGGCTCAGGTTCACATTCTAAGACTTCTGCTTAGAATGTGCTTGTTAGTTATTGCTTTGTCATTTTATTTTGATAAAGCTGGTGGTTTTGCTTAGGGAATATCTAATTAATTAAATATCTAATTCATTACAGTGTGATCATTAGAAGAGGGGTTTATTACTGTCACACACCCCCTGCAACACAGAGTGAAATACTAAGTCCTGATAAGCATACAGTATATTGCATAACTGTTTAACTATCATGTATACAGTGCATTGCAAGTGGCTGAGTTATAGATTACTAATATTTTTTATTGATATCTTGCCTTTTTGCCCAAAGAGATCCTGGAAGACATACCCCATGAGGACAAGCAGGAGAAATGTGGGATCTTCAGGTTGGAGAAAAGAACACTTACAGCTTCGTATGATGTGTGAACTTGGATGGTTTTGAACAAACCTGAACTGTGTCCTCACTTTTTAATTTCATGGACCACCCCTGTGTTTAACACGACATAAAACAGCAATTTATCAAGTGAATCATGACAAATATCTCTAGGGGACTCTTACGCATAATGGTATACCACAGAGATCATCTGTCAATTTCTTTTACTTACTAGTAATTTGCATCCCTGCTGAAGAGAGGATTTGGAGCTGCTGGAATGGAAATATTCCCAAAATACCAGAGAACAGAGAAGACATTGTGAGGTTCTGCATTCAGAGACACTAAAAATACTATGTGGCGAAGGCAGGGCCTGGTAAGGAAAAGAGCCTAGCTGACCACTATTGGCAGCATCTCTGCAGATCAGTGCATGAGGTTGTCTGAATCCTACTATTATTTTTGAGTGATGGACTGCACCCCAAAAAGTGATTGGAGGTCCTCATCCCCCCCCCCCGACCAAATGATATGCACAATATGAAATGTACTTTAAATGAAAGTAAATACAATTGTGTCTGTGGAGATTCTCAGTCATCCAGGTCATAGTTGTCTCAAATATGCTTTTTCAAAAGGCAACTAAACTGTTTTTTCCCTTGAGGACGATGTTTCGCTTCTTATCCAAGAAGCTTCATCGGTTCTGCCCCCCCCCCCGCCCATCATGCCAGAACCGATGAAGCTTCTTGGATGAGAAGCAAAACATTGTCCTAAAGAAAAAACAGTCCAGTTGGCTTTTGAAAAAGCCAGATAAAATACAATTGTATTCCTCTGCAGTGATATTAAAAATTATCGTTAGGTTGCAATGTTTGAAGGTGCTTTGGAGATTGTCAACATGACTTTCAGTGTTGGGTTGTACAACGAGTTTTAGTTGGAAGATGATTGAGACTTAGAATTTATATTTGCAAACTACTGGAACCCGCAAATAAAGATTTTGCCTCCTCCTGTTTTCTGTGGCTGGAAAATCAAGTATCATGGAGCTTTTGGCAGGATGCAGAACTTGCTTTGTAATATTTAAATGTGATGGGATGGACTAGATTAGATTAGTTTAGGAAAGAATATATAATGCTACATTATACTTGGTCAGTTTCATAATTGGTTTATCTAGGTCACTGTTACCTATGATACATTAGCTCTTCAGATGTTCCTTAATTATATCACTTAACATATTTCACCACTGGCAATGCTAACATGGGTTGCCAGGAGCTGTAGTTTTCCAAAATTAGAGAGCTGTAGTTCCTCACCTTAAAGGAATCTTTGACTAGCTCCATCTGTTCAGGATTTCAGCTAAGATTCTTCAGGGGTGTATTATCAATTTGTTAAAAAGTGAGCTCTACACCCTGCCCAAAGTTCCATGATGAGCTTGTTGATTTTCCAGCTGCATATGACAGAAGGAGGCAGTAGGCTACCAAAATCTGTATTTACTGGTTCCT